AGCAGATCAAGCATTCCGACGCAGACAAGATATCGAGCGGTGGGCGGAGCGTGTCGCAGCAGGTGGAGCGTGTCAAAGTTCTTAGCGCCTAGCGTCTAAATAACGGTTTTCGAAGTAGGGAAGTGACGCGACCTCTACACTTGCGTACCTAGCGCTTCTAGCCACCGTAAAGGCTCATTAAGTGGGTCTGAGCCCGAACTTTGCCTTTAAACATGAATGTATCAGTTGTGATCACTGGAAACAGCACACAAAGTTTCACGCATGAAGATTCGGTTTCCGAAGAGAAACAAACTTACAAAAACTACACTCTATGGACAATCGAAGGTAAAAGGCGCGGAGCCAAAGGCGAGGCATGGAAAGAAGTCCGCCCTTGGGCGGCTACGTATCAGGCGACGCAATGAAAGAATCGGGTTAAAGCGCGCGATTTCGGAGAGGGAGACAAATCGATCGATAGAATAGGATGGCAGTAGAAGTGTGAGATGTGAATGCAATAAGTCAAAAGGCCAGAAAGAGTTTCTAGTGAAGGCACTCCAAGAACCCATGTGGAAGCATTCCCGTCGCCAGCATTTGTGACAGATGTGCGGCGGTACTTTGAACGCGTAGCAGCCCTTTCGGTTTTTCGAATTTTTTACCAAAACAATGCATTTTTCTGTTCTTTTCCCTCTTATCAGTAGATGATGAGTCTCAAGCCAGTGAATGGCTAAAATAGAATCATGATTTTTCCTCAAGGGATTTCTTTAAGGGGTGCTGTAGCACCGTTATCCTGTATCAAATGCTATCGATCTTTGAGAAGCGAAATCGAATTTTTTCTTCTCAAGTTACACGTTTTCTTAATCGTTTCTTTAGTTCCTCAATATTTCTACTCACACACATACGAAAAGTTCCTTTTTGGTGCATTCTTGGTTGAGGAGGTAAAAAGAAAAAAACCGTACAAGCAGATATATAGTGTTATACGCACTCACGTGCCACGGCTCAGGACCCGCGTGTCCACAATGTCTCACTGTGCTCACTGTGTAGGATCTTGAAATAGGACCCGCGCGGTGTGGTTTGCTGAAAGAGAAGGGGAATTTTCCGCTCTTCGCAGCAGGGTGAATAACGGTCGAGGAAAATTCTCGACCATAGTTCTCTGGTCGACCAATCGCACCATAAAATTCTCGACCATTGCTGAGAGCATTGCCGAGAGTGAACCATCCGCGCGGAGGCCAGCAGACGGCATCGGGTGGCGAGCAGGGTGAAAATCGTGTCGAGTACGTGGTCGCAGAAGTACGACCCCCCCCCCGAAATCGAGATCCTGGCACGACCCCCCAATAACAGAGCAAATTAATTCAATTAATTAATCAAAATAAATCCTGCAGAACAAATCAAAAAAAAAATCCTGCAAAATAATGTTATGGACGCCTCATCTTGTCATCTATGCACTGTCTTTCATCGCTGCACACTTTTGTGTATTTACTGAAATATCGACTCGAGGAAAGAGGCATTAACTTTGTGTGACCTCAAAGTCAGGTTCGTTCAGAAATGCACAGAAATCCTGAAGGCACGGGGTTGCGATTCAATCTTGATTCTTGCTTGAGTATATCAAAACAGCCGAGTGTATCAAAGGCCGATTCAACGGCAGCTGCGGCGCGATTGTCACTGGGTCAGATTTGCCTGAAATCCCAAAAAAAAACGTCCGAAATCTACACCCTCGATGAAAAGGTTGCATTCCTCCATTTCATAACCTTTGAAGCAGTTTGAGGTAGGGTTAGATAGAGCTGGATTTCGCGTTTCCAAGAAGTATTGAAATTGCTCTGAAAGCCTTCCATGCAGAAAGATAGGGTCTCTCAAATTTCGTCGAGTAAACGTCGAGGACGCTGAAATTTTCACGCGAGTTTTTGCCACTTCAAGAGCAATATCTCTCTTATGTCGTAAGATCCTGAAAAAGTGAAGATAGTTTTGGAAAGCGGAAGGTTTGCGCTTTCTGATGGTCTTCTTAGCTTTCTTCTACATTTCCTAGTTGAGAAGATATCTGCGTCGAGTATGTATCGAGGACGGATCCGGCCACCTGAAAATCCGCTCCCTCCTTCACCATTGCAAGTGTGATTCGTTGGCAACACTCGGAATGTGTCTAGAACAAAATCTTTCAACGCAAGCAATAAGAATAGGGGCAATCGTCATCATCCGATTTCGTATTGGTATAAGCCATGCATCCCTCCTCCACTCACAGTTGCAGAATCGATTGAAAGGTGTTATATGATGGGGACCTTCGAACGAAACTGTATTGTAGTAGACATAGTGTGTTGTGCTATTCCTGTAACCTAAAAAACAACTTCATTTGCCCAGCGCTTTTTCTTCACGGTTGTCGTTTTTCCGACAGGGTCCCTAACAACAGCGTCATTCTCAGCGAGGTATTAAGGGAGAAGGAGCGATAGGCAGAGGAGGTGCCTTTGCAGCGCGTGCGCACATGTGGCAGTCTTCTTTGCGGGGATGCACTTTCATTCTTTGTACTGCCTTCAAATACGCCCTTCTCATGAAGGTGGAGGAATGGAGCGACTGAACCTGCAAAGAAAATTTAATATCATGTTTTTTTCAGATGTTTTCATTTTCTGCTGCGCTATACCCTCTTACCTATCTGCACCACGATACCACTGCTGTTACTGACCCCCAAGAGTACGACCCCCCATGGACCAGCCCGACAGGTACGACCCCCCTGTCGAGGATTTCCTCGACCGATATTCACCCTGATGGCGAGTGTGAATGTCCGCGCGAGAGATCGTCTCTGATTGGGCAGTGAATCCTCGACGTGCCGTTGAGGAATCCTCAAGCGATCTTCACCCTGCTTCGCAGTGCGAAACTTTTTTTTTCGAATCTTAGGTCCACCACTGATCTGGAGTGGACCTGATGTTGACACAGCGAGAACGGATCAGTAGTGTACCTGGGGTTTCTACAGAGACAAAGGTCCCGCGCTGCAAAAAGCGGAAAGGTTGCTTGCTGTCCTAGCGGACCACCCGGTCCTCACAGGACCGACGTAGCGGTGGGTCCCTTGACGCAACTTTCCAAGGATCTTTCGCAAGGCGACATCACTTACACCTTACGTCACGTATCGCTGCCGTACCTCTCTTCATAGTAATTGCGTTCTTTTTACACATTTCGGTGCTAATTTATTTAGTTGGGCGGAGGGGGGGGGGCTAGTCGGTGCCGCGCATGTTAGGCTCCCCTTGTGTGGAACGAGGAATGCGTGAGCAATGAGGAGCGTAAGCAAACAAGGGGATAGGGATGACGAATCACTCAGCATGTGAAAAGCTGGGATGTGCGAGTTCAAACTATGTCAGCGAGGTAACACAAGCATGCCCGCCACGACGGCTACAGCTCCCCCCTACCAAATTAGCGCTTCCATTTCTTGCGATAATTATTGCGCTGTTTGACAATCGATTTACTTAAAACTGCGATACACAAATGCGACCTTTTTTTCAGTTCCGACTCATCTTCCCTTCGCAGTTTCCGGCCGCCCCTCCATTGTGCCGGTTTTATCCGGCCCTTTTTCATCCCAACATTGATGTTTGTGGTAAGTTGTCACTTAAATTTTCTGCAATTGTGCTGTAGCAATTTCGAGTTTTGTGCTTGTGTTGTGAAGCGTGTAGTTCCAATACACTTATGCAGCTGGTGAAGGGACTGTTGGTCGTAATAACGCTGTACTGTAGTTTATTCGTTTTGCTCTAACTGACAGCTGAGGGTGACGCGTGGTCAGTTCCGCACAGCTCCGGCCGCGACATATTTGCGCCTCAGGTTAGTGGCAATGGGAACAATGTCAGATCTGTGCGAAGGGAATAGCATTGGTAAAAGTAAATTTGCTGTTTTCAGTGGTAACCTTCCTCTCAACTCCGCTTGATGACGATGTTGCAGTTTTAGGCATGAAGCTGGAGTGTATCGGACTGTTTCAGCTATTAGCACCACTGATCAGAGTGGATATATTGCGTGGTGTAAGGGGGCGGGTGGGGGGGGGGTCTGATCACGGCGCCTATCAACGTTTTTTTTAACCGTTGGCGATCTTATCCTTGTCAGGCCATGTACTGGGCAGAATTTTATGAGCATTGCTAGTAGATACGTGTAATTCAGCTGTCTGAGTTGAACACTGACATGAGTTAAATGTAGCGAATAGAATAAAGGTGGCTTGCAGAAAGCCAAAAACGATAGCGAAATTTTTTGCCCATTTCCCTCCACTGGGGTTGTAACAGTGAGTAGTGGCAACATTCTACTACATAATCAAATTTCCAATGCACATCTATTGGTTTGCGATCGTATGGTTTTACGGCGATATGTTTGCCACGTTTTTTTTTGATGATTTGTTCCAGGTTTTTTGAAAGTATCATCCTTACAAAGTGGGTGGGACGAGAGTCTCGGCTCGCTTTTAGCGATAATGAATGCAATACAGAATATACTCTCCAAACCAAGGCTGGAGGAAGACGTAGCCAATGAAGCGGCAGCCACACTGTACAGATCCAGCAGGTAATCAATTTCGTTTCGAGTTATTTTATGCCTACCGCTTTGTTCAAATCCTGTTTAGAGAAAATTATTACAATCGCGTACGTCGGGAGGCTAGACGATGTTCCACGTTCGACACGTTAGATGCATTGAACGGTAAGTCGCCTGGTGCCAACGGTATCGTCAATATGATATTCACCCATGAATGTCCTTTCATTTCTCGTATCTCTTATTAATATTCATTTTTAACCCTTTGACGACAAAGGCACCCACCGGTGGGTGCCACTATGTATGTTCGCCGCGTGAGACAATGCACCCGAATGGATTTCACCCTTAAAATTTCCTTCTTTGCACTTCAAAACACATGATTGTAAGCAAGGTTCATATTATCTATGACTAGCACGGTTTACAGATGTTTATTAACACATTGACGACAACGCGGGGGATATATATCCCGCGCATTGCAGGCCATGTCGGACCGTGCGGGATATATATCCCCCGCACCCATTACACTCATTTTTTTCGCGCACGCCTGATTCTTTTAGAAGTTTCTTGTGTTCATTCCATAGAAGGGACAATTCGCTTCGACATTCGACATTTGAACAATTCGCTTTTTCATTGTTACTCCATGTCTTTCGATCAAAATTCCACTACTGTACCCCTGGTTAGGTTGCGCTCATTACAATTTACTGATTTGGTTTTGAATTGATCATTAGTTGTGTATTTATCACTCAAAATCTGCTTGAACGACCTGAGGCGAGCGCGCCCGCAAAATCGCCGCGGTCCCACGTGGCCAAAAAAGCCAAAACTCGCGTTGTCGTCAATGTGTTAAGGGGGGGGGGGGCAAGACGCGCCCGTACATGCACCATAATGCTGCAAAGGATTAGAGAACAGCGATTTCGGAAGCGGCAAAGGAGATTTCAGATAAAATGTGCTTAAATTATTGTTACTGGTTTTTAAACTTCTGACTCCTGTGAACAAATCAAAGTACCAAAATCGCCTGGGTTCAGGAAGCTGCGATGCATCATTACCCAGAAGGCCACGAAACCATCGTTGGGTAAAAAAAGTTGTGCCAAGATCCCTGCAAGGTGACTTTGCTGCTGCCCAAGTCAGTTCATGCGGTACCCATTTGTCCAGCTTTCTTACCTTCCCAAGTACCTTCAGGCGCTCCGAAAATTTCAGTATGCTTGCTCAAGGTTATGCTGCTGGCTGCCGTACACTTGTTTGGAAATCTTCTTCTGCCGGGTCTTCAGAAGGCCGCCGTCAAGAGGAGAATGTCGTCCGTAACCCCCCCTCACTTCGAATCTAGATTTCCCTAACTTGAAAGCTTCGGAGCCATCGAAGCAGTGTGCTTTTATTGCAACATCCTTAGCCCCACACAGCAATCCTATTCCGAGCTGCCCGCACAGCACTCTCTCCAAATTTCAACTCATAGAAGTGAACCTGCTCACCTCAAACCCCCCCCTACCTTGACGCCTTCACTTGAAACCTTTAAAAAAAGTGAGGTCCGAGTTCCATCAAAATACAATGGCCGAGCAAGAAAGAGAATGAAATGGGCTTTCCAACGATATGCAACAGTACAGCAATCGTATGGAAATTTCTCGGAAAAATATCAAATAATGTATGAGACATTGAAACCGGCATTAATTTCCGGACAACCTAATATTTTTGTGTTCCTTCACTTGATTTTTCTAACCTATTTAGAAAATCAATAATAATAACAATAATATTAATAGCAATAGTAATCATAATAAATATGAGCATCAATTCACTTTGTTTTGTTCCCAGGAGTCAGAAGTCTAAAAACTAGCAATAATAAATTAATAACCACATTTTATCTGAAATCTCCTTTGCCGCTTCCAAAATCGCTGTTCTCCAATCCTTTGCACCATTATGGACATGTACGGCGCGTCTCGCCCACAGATAGCTGGCGCCCAATCGCCAGCCAGCACTAATTAAGTGCCAAGATTTGAGGTCACTTCGCACCTAGTCGCGACGCAGCACTAATTAGGTGCTAAAATTTCCATTCGCACCACTTGATACACACCTGATACACACCTAATACACACCTAAGAGCTAATTTACATAGAGTTGTAGAATGTGCCATTTAGCTGCCAGCGTATTAATTGGAGTTTGCATTATTAGGCTGAAAGATTAATTACTAATCAGGACTTCTTCGTCTTCTCATAGCCCTCAGATATGGGAAGGGGTTTGAAGTGTACCGAAAATTCTCTTGGACATTCAAACTTTTAGAGGTTTTGCCCTCTTCCTCTATAGAACCCGAGTTTCCCTTCCATATTTGGAATTCTTTTGAACCCAATATACAGTTTGAAAGCCTGGAACTGCACTTTTATCTTGTTCACTGCAAAGTCAAGAATGCTATAGAAGGTGTCTTGAGGGACCATTTTGCCCAATTGTGAGCGAGAGTTGGGCGCGCCAAAAAGAGGCGTGGTCCCATGAGCAAGCTACGTGCAAATTCCGCATTGTCGTCAAGAGGGTTAAAAGGGTAAACTGTCAAAAATCGATATTCGGAATAGTGTGGTAATATAATGGTTGGAAATGAATAGATGGACGGATTTGGTGTGGATTGGCCGGTTTTCTGGGAACTCCACCTGTAACTTGAAGACAAGCTTCGGGATTAAACAGATCTGGAAGAACATTCACATATGAAGAAATGAGCGGTCTTGAAAAGAAAAAGAAAGGAAAAGAAACCTCAGATTACGCCTTGATAGGAACCTCCTCTTTCTCAGCCGCAAGCCACCATCAGGACAGGGAAGGGTGTGCTGGACGACAAAGCTCCAGTTGCTCCAGTGCCAATCATATTGAAAGGCAATGCCGCAACTGCGACCGCGCTTTCAAGCAGCGCCACCGGCAACCGGCAGCGGAAGGCGGGGCGCACGAACGAAGGATTTGCGGGTTGAGTGAAGTTCTAACGCTTTGTCGCGCACTTTCAAGTCGCAAGAAGGGCGCGACATCAAACGCTTGCTCGCCTGTGTACAGGGGTGGCCAAAAAAAAGAGCACTTTGCCTATGGCGCACATCATCGAACTTTTTGTCGCACAGGGCGCCGATGTTAATGAGAGTTTTATGGCGGAATATTCCTAAGATGTTCCCACGTAAGCAGAAGTAGGCCCTTTTTCACTGCCTCCACCGTCTTCAAAATATGACGTCATCTGTCGTCACCGTCGAGCTCAACGAGGCTTGCTGTAATCGCTCCGGCCTGAAGCTGCTACATGATTTCTTCAATTGATTAGATGGTGAATAACTTCTAGGAGACACTAGCTGTTACTGTGCAAGACCGCTTTTAACCAGCGTTTCGGGGAGGTCGTAATGGCCTATGGTACATCGACGACCTCGTTGAGCTCGTACCGTGAACCATGTTTCCGTGGGAAAATCTTCTGATGTAGTCGGTGCAGAAGGCTGTGTGACATTTAGATAGATTAGAGTGTGCTCTTTAATACTAAGTTGGGTTCAGTCGATTTGATTCTAGCAAAGTGTGATTAATGCTGAACTTTAAAGTGAAGTGTCTTTTTTTTTGGCCACCCCTGTGGTTCTCTGGGGTATAGAACAGGTAAGCGTGCCTAATACCGGAGGGTGCTTTTAACCCCATATCCCAATGCATGCAGAACAAGAATATTGTGTGCTCTTCGCATGCTGCCTTCCCGAGTACCCTCGCAAAGGTGATCTTAACAATTGGCGACAGTTTCTTGCGTAGGAGACTCGTTTTCTCCATTTATCAGAGTTTTCCCATGTTTTAAAATTGTCCTTATACTTCATCGATTTGGAGAACAGTATAATCGTCAACAATGTTAAAAATTCGGGTAAGCCACATAAATGTTAAAATTATTGAAGAAAATCAAAAGAACTAGAAAGATACTAGAATACACGCGTAATGGCTATTGTCAATGTGTTACACTAATATAACACACGTACGGCGCTCAATCTCCTACCTAAAGCGAGAAAAATAATGTGCCGCACATATCACCTCCATAGGCGTTTGAATTTGTAATCGGTTCTTATAATGAAATGCATGGGCACAGTATCTTAAGAAAGTTTGCATCATCCAGCATGAATCAGGCCAACTCTTCGGAGGTTCTGGAGAAGGGAGATTGCCTGGAGTGGGCTCTGCGCCTCTAACAAGGGAGGTCTTTCAGGGCAAGGTGCGCTTTTTCAAAACGGTTTTGTGCATATTGTAGGGACGCATGTAGGGAACGCAAAACCATGTTTCATTTTCGCTGAACGGTTATAGCAGTACCAAAAAAGAAGCATAAGGTACTGTTAAGGGTTCGATCCCCCGTGGCGACTAAATTTTGCATTTGGGTTGGCGCCTACGGTTTGGTGCCAAATCGCGCTAAATATCAAAATCAGATGTCAAATTCATCGTCAGGACCATTTTGAAGCCAACAAGTGGCCGCCAACCTTGATTGCAAAATTTAGTCGCCGCGGGGATTGAACCATCAAGAGTATTATTCACCACTTTTTTGGTACTACTAAAACCGTTCAGCGAAAACGAAACATGGTTTTGTGGTCCATACATGCGTCCCTACAACATGTACTAAACCGTTTCCAAAAAGCGCACCTTGCCCTGAAAGACCTCCCTTGTAAGTGACTGAGGCGAACTTCAAGTTTTTCATGCTTACGATCATCTTGGGGACTCCGTGTACTGGTTCAATGGTTAAATTAATTGCGGATTAGAAAGACGGTTTTTCCTGGAAGAGCGTCACTGCTGGTTTACCTGAAGTTTGACAAGCTTGACTATTCGGAAACACTCAAACTTCTGCGTGCACCATGTAGACAGTGAATGCGTAGCAGCACATCGCTCTGCTGAAGTAGTCGATTCATTTTAGTCCAGTGTGCTCGACGCCAGTTAGTGCAACGGCATAGGAAACGTATGACCTACTGCCTTAAAACGCGAGGTTGTCATTTATTGATAGAATGGTGCAAGAAGATCAAGAAATGCCACTAGATTTTGCAGAAATCGTTTTTGAGGATGATGTTTTTCAGGCGAACACACCGAACAAACACAGTTTATGCCTCCTCCGTTGCCACCACAGGTATATCGTCAAGTCTGTGGTCACTCACTTGAGCCCGGCTTGGACTGTCCAAGACAGGCTCAAGTGAGTGATCACACCACTCCGGCAGCCACACCAGTGGCACCTTGCACTTCCTCAACATATGCAGGTAATGATGGTTCAACCGGTAGGTCCATAGCAAGACGTAGACGACCACCAAGTGAAATTGAAAAAGTGTTGTTGTTGTAGTTTCAGAGGCAGAAAGGACCAGAGTTTGTCCAACAAGGGGATCCAACTCGCCTTGGTACAGCTGCTCGAATTGGTTCGAAAAGAGGGAGGCCGAGGAAGACAGCTGAAGAAACTATTGTCATGCGCCGGGGACCGAAGGTACGCATCCGAAACAGCCGAACAAATCCGCGGCTCGCTTTGGTACAGCTGGTACCAGAGGACGTGCACAGGCGGCCCGTCGCACCCGCGGTCATCGCTGAAGACGCTCCTTTCGTTATATTAGCTTGATAGGAAAGTCCTGCAACACTTTCCATTATTTGTTCTTAAATTTATCTTTTCTGCTTACAGGTTCTGACAGTCACAACGATGATGATTGAAGGTCCGGAATAGGTGGTAACCATTTAGAACCTTAACCGGGGGAAGCGATGGGGATTCAAGACTTCTCGCCGCAAGTTCACAATTTCTTGTAAGGCTCATTTCTCAAGAAGGATTCGCATCGTCATGTGTGAAATGAGCGACGCTTTACGCGCGCTTTTGACGAGCTGCATTGGCCTACTCTTGGATTTTGCAGCGTTTTTCTTTATTCCACGATGGTGCCCATTTCGAGAATTCACTCGTATAAGCCTTCGTATTTCCTGTGCTATTTCACGATTTTTTTCTTTTTTCTCCACTGGCGGTCCACTTCCTACCCCTACTTTCACATTTGAGTGGAATTACCTCATAATTTAATCCTGAATCTTGCCTTTAAGAAAGAATGCAAGGGTTCTTTGTAAAGGATTCCTTTAAATGAGGAAATTCCTTCAAAATTAAATCACCTATGCCATTTCTTTATAGCGCGTCGACATGCTGTTTCTAACGTCACGTACCCTTGCGACTTGCAGTAAAGCGGTCCAGCCTCACTTGAATAAGTTCGCACTGTAACTGTTACCACGCGCACCAAATGTATAGGCCGAGCAGAATTATGAAGCGCGATTGACTTTACCTCGGTTTAGCATGAACGACTGTGCCTTAGTACGCGCATTGGGCTCCTTACCTGCATCTGATAAAATACATCGAGATATGTACCTTGTAAAGCCCGCCCTCCCACGCAGTATACTTGCGTCCCGGCACCGCACATTCAAAAATTTTATAGTTTTTGCTTCCATCTGGACGCGTGGTCGGACGGGCTATAAATCCCAAAGGATGCTTCTTTCTCCACTGTTTGTGCTCGTACTCCAAAAATTCATATGCTGCTGACGAGAGATTGTTCTGAAAATATAAAGTTCGAAAAGCACTTGTTATCAAACGCATAATAATTGCAAGCCAAAAAGACCCTTGCTGCTCTAATTCTGTCGAAAATCGCGTCTCAACACACAAGAATGACGCACGCTAGTTTGAAGTACAATAAATAATCATTCATGGCTTTCAAACTTACCATCTCGATAGTATTATCTTCGTCGTTTTTCGTAAATAATGCAAAAACAAGCAACGTTCAGTCAAGTCGAAGCAACGTTCAGGCAAGTCTTAAAGCACACATCTTAATAGAAATCATTCGTAGGGATTCTCTGGAAACCTACTGGAACTTACCGAAGCTATACCTACTACTTCAATCAAATAATGCAATACAAGGATGTCAGCGAAAGAAACTATATAGGTCGAAGACGTACTGAAAATAGTTCTGATGAGGAAGGGTTTGTTACTTTATGGTACTGCTGTACTGCACAGGTTTTTTGAGGGTTCCAATTCAGCAAACCTGTACGGCTCAACATTACCATGAGATATTTAACGAACTCAGGTCAAACAAAGCAGATAGCCTGAAACTAGAGGACGTGGAAGGATGTTTAAACTCCGGAGAAACCACTCAAAAGCGGAAAACGGTGACAGAAAGGTGCCGACGATCAGAGCAGTGGGACGCCACCACTCCTGGCGGGCCACACCGGCTCACTGATGGGATGCCGTTGATGGTGAACGTGGAAAGTCCAGAGCCCGTTCGCTTCAAAGTCATTGCACATAAGCCATCATTTCGTCTTCCTTTCTGTATCCGTTTTTGTAAGTTTGAACTAACAAGAGTGGTATTCAAGGGCAAACCGCGCTTTTCAAAAGGTTTCTTACATATTGTAGGGACGCATGTATGGACCACAAAACCATGTTTCGTTTTCGCTGAACGGTTAGTAGTACCAAAAAAGTTGTGAAAATACTGTTGATGGTTCGATCCCCGTGGCGACTAAATTTTGCATTTCAGGTTGGCGCCTACGGGTTGGTGCCAAATCGCGCTAAATATCAAAATCAGATGTCAAATTCATCGCCAGGACCATTTTGATTTTAACAAGTAGTCGCCAATTTTGAGTGTAAGATTTTTACGCCAGAGGCAATCGAACCATCAGAACCTTGCACTAGTTCTTTGAAACCTCTAGGAACGTTTAGCGAAAACGAAATGGTTCTATGACCACACATGTGTCCCTACCATATTCAGGACACCATTTTCCAAAAGCGCTGTTTGCCCTGAAAGTCCCCCTCCCCTCCCTGTAAGAGCAGTAGTAATATAGAAGTGAAGAGCAAAAGCTAATATCACCCGCTCTGCTATAGAAATAGTTCAAATGACAAAAGGATTGTTACTTATGGTGTTGCTGTGCTGTACAGGTTTGTTGAGAGCCCGCGTCCCAACAATCCTGTGCAGTACAACACTACCATAACTGCTTAACAGGATTAGGCTACACAAGGGAAGCCGGTCGAAAAAAGCTTGATGACAAATCGGAGCACAGTAGGACCGCCACCTCTCCTGACGGACCGCACTTGTCGAATGAGAGACGTCACGGTGAGGGCCAACGTGTGAGGTACGGTAAAACTCCCATTGCTTCATTACAGGACCAACGCACGAGATCCTTTAATTATAGCTTGTGCCTTTTGAAATAGTTGCGTTGTATTTTCAGTTCAGTACGTTTTCTTTTAGACGTTATTTCTCCTCCTCGCTTTTTCAGAACGCCCAAGGATCTGCGTGAATTCAGCCACATAAAGCAATAAGGAGAACGAAATGACTGGATTTTGTAGCAGGTTGAGTCACAGAAATCGAACTAAAAAATGAAAAGAAAATCTATGTAGCGATTCAGAGTTAAGATATGCGATTCCACGAGGGCTGTAAATTACTCTGACTTCACCAGGTCCGGAAAGGCCCTTCTTAAGAGTTGTTTCTTGTACGAAGCCTAACCTGAAACTTTGGCCACCGATGATTTTCTTGCCAACTCACCTTTTTATTACGTCTGTCAAAAGTTCGGTAGAATATTGCGTTAAAATGACTAGATTGTGTAGATCTAAATGAAAATTCTCTTAGAGTACTCTGAGGCTGAATGCAGCATTCTGGGCGACTTTTTCTCACAAGCTAGCCTTACGGTGCTGGAGCCGCGGTTCGAGGGCACAGATGTTACGTATAAATCCCACCCTGCGCCGGTGCAATTACGTACTATGTGCAACTACCGTACCCTACGTATAAATTTATTCACTGTGTTGATGTGCTTGTGGCCTCTGCATCATCGTAATACTACGTGTAACTTCTACGTCGTCTTTACTGATTTGCTGAATGT